TAAATAATTGAAGAAATAAACTATTGGGGAGAATATACAAATGTCCTGTGCAGCAGAATTTCAAATAATTTATGTAGATATTCCACCTTCAGGGAGGTGGAGCATAACTCCCTATTCCTTAAGTGTGGGCCGTACATAGTGACCTTCCAAAGCATACAGTACGGAAAGAGAGAATAAAAGGAGTAACTTTACAGTGAAGAAATCTGACAAACACTACCTAACTAAGCCAGGTGATCGAGGTCACCATTAACAGTGGTGGGAAGTCATGTTGACAGTATGTGCTTTTGATATGTGGTGCTTCTCCCCAAAGCCCAAACCCCAGTCTATCTAATCATGAGAAAATCATCAAAGCCTAATTGAGAGACAGTCTACAAAATACCTGACCAACACTCTGCAAAACTGTCATAAAAAATAAGAACAGTCTGAGAAACTGTCACAGGCCAGAGACAACTAAATGTAATATGCTCCCCTGATGGGATCCAGGAAATGAAAAAGGACATTAGATACAAACTAAGGATGTCTGAAGGTAGTGTGGACTTTAGTTAATAATAATATGTCAATATTAGTTCATTCATTGTAACAAATGTACCACATTCATGTACAATGTTAATATTTGGGAAACTGGGTGTGAAGTATCTGGAGGTCTGTACTACCTTGGCAATTTTTCTGTGAGGCTAGAACTATTCTAAAACATGAAGTTTATTCTTAGAAATGAGATAATATCATTAACAATCATTTGGTGAGTGGTTGCTATTAAATGGTAATAAATGATAATGAGACTAAGAATTTTTTATTCACTCAAAGCCCCCTCAAGGAAAGCACTTGGAGAAATATCTTCATAAGGTCTATTCCTATAGAAACTGAAATTCCAAGGCATGGATGCTGGCTGGTGCCAGGGTTTCGGAGAAGGGGTACCATTATTCTTCAAGAGACAAAGAAAGGTTTTTTTTTTTTTTTCCTTTCTGAAAGGGAGGAGGAAGCGGAGTAAAACAATAATGAACATTTATTGAATACTGAACTCTGTGCGAAGTGCTTTATCTCGCTGAATCTTCCACCAACCCTGAAGAGGTAGTCACTACAATTGCCATAGATAGAGGGAAATAAAGGGGAAACTGAGGCCAACAGAAGTGAAATGACCCACCCAAGAAGACATGGCTCATGGGGGACAGAGGGTATGAAGCAGGATTTGCACCCAGAAAAGCTGGCCCCAGAGCCTTCTCCACAAGGCTACCTGCCAGGAAATATAAAGGTGCCCGTGACCACTCAGTGCACAGCAATGTTGCTAAACTCCTGGAATGTGTGGTGGGAGCACATTTCCCATAGGAAGCGAGAAAGGGCCTACGTTTTTGTTATTGTCGTGTTTTGGTCCGGGATGATGCACAGAAGCGAGGTGGGGGGTGGAGGAGGCAGAGGAAGTCCTTGAGAAGGGATCGTGGGGGGACTTAGGACCACCAAGGCTGGTGGGAGTTGCTCAAGTGGACTTAGATCTCTGAGGGTCAGAACGAAGGGGTGGGGATGGAGGGCGCGGTTCTCGGTGGGCACTGGAACACACTGTCATCGCTGCCACTGTCAGCCCCTTCCTGCCCCACTGCCGACTGCCTCCCCCTCAAACACCCTAGCGGCTCCTTCAATCTGGGCCGCTTCCTCGGGGGAAGCAGGATGTGTTCTCCAGGCTCGGGCCAGGTCTCTGTGGTCTGGGGTGGGAAGAGGCTGTCCGATTGGTTAACAGGGCGCTAGGCACCAGGGAGGAAGTAATGTTTCCGCGAGTTGAGGAAACTGCCATTTCCTCCTCCAGCAGGACGCGGCCTTGGCTATTCTCGGCCCCGTAGCCGTGTGGAGCAATGGAAATCACAGCCTGGCAGTGTCTCTGGTTTGCCTCTTGCAGTTTAACAGTCTCCCAGTCAAAATAAACTGGCTCCTTAGGTCTCCAGGGCATGGTTAAGGTAATAATTGAGAGAGAGAGAGAAGCCAGGGGCCTGGCTGTAGCACAAAGGCACGGAGAAACTTCTAAAACAGCGGGCTGGTGCCTCATTAAAGTGGTGTAATTGAGGCATTGTGAAGACAGACAAAGCAGGAGATTCAGCGACTGCTTCTCCAACAGCCGGTGTCCACCTGGCGAGACTGAGTTGGCTGGGGGAGAGTTTCGGTACTTTAAGCATATATGTAGATGAGTTTTCGACAGGAAAGCCAGCGATTCAGCAGAAAGGGGGCTGGAAAAGGAAGCAGAGACCTGAGTTCAAACACGGACTTCACCAGACGAGCTATTTTGAGGCAGTTACGACATTGTAAACTTTGCTTCCCTCGTCTCTCGGCAGCCATGGGAGGAGAATCCTCCTCGTTTACCTCAGAGAATTATTGCGAAATCAACGTTAATTCCTTCTTTTCCTTTATCTTCCCATAGCCACTGGTTCCAGAGCCCTGGAGATTCAGTCCCGCCCTCGCTGCCCCTTCAGTCCCTCCGCAGACGTTCACTGAGCACCTACTTGGAGGCCAGAAGTGACCTGCCCTGGGCATTGGGCGAGGAAGGATGTAGTTTACATCCACCGGAAAAGGCAGACGACAAACACGTGACATGATTTTGTGTTGTGATAAGGGCTGTGAAGGACACAAAGAGGGGGTGAGGAGGGATTACTGTAGAGGAGGGAGGTGGGGGCTGCCCCGAGCAGGTCACATCCGTATGGTTCCCGACTGGGGAGAGCCAGCCGGCCACGGGCGGGGGTGGGCCTCTGAGCGGGACGGCCGCAGCGGCTCACTTATTTAATGTGTGTTTATTGGGGGGTTCTTGATATGAGAGTTGTGGTGATAAATACAACAGTCAGGGTCCTTGCCGTCAGGGAGCTTATATTTTGGAGGGAAAAACAGAGAAAAATAAACAAATAAAATCAGTCACTGGTAAGCACTCTTCAGAGAATTGAGATAAAGGTTGGTCCTGATGTAGAATAACTAGGTACCGAGCCAGAGGAAAGGGCAGTGCAAAGGGCCCACTGCAGGAAGGAGGATTCGGGTCAGATAAACAAAACGAATGCAGTGTTCTTCCAGCCCACACCTGGACGTTCCCCACGGACGTTCCCCTGCTCACCCCACTGGTCACACTCATTGCTGCCCAAATCACAGTGGCTCTGCGGCCCCTCCCCGTTTACTTGTGAGAGTTCCAGCCTGTCACAGAGGTTTCCCTTCCTGGGGCTGCTTACACCATCCTGTGCCTTGGGCGTCACTGGGCTGCTGCCCCTGCGGGGTGCCTGGAGGTCACACACACTGCCGGCCACAGCCTCATGTTCAGACCTGCCGACCCCTCCCCAGTGGTGGTCGCCGTGAGAACACCGACGGGGAAGGTGGACAACAAGACCAATGTCTGGTGAGATGCAGCTGACGTGCAGAGAGGCAGCTGCAAAAGATGATGCAGCGGATCCCCGGTGGGATTCCGGAGGCAGATAACGCACTGGAGAAAGACTTGGTTTCACCAGGTCTAAGGAAAAAGAATGAACAGAGAGCCTGCCACGTGCTAGAGTGATGTCTAACAGGGGCTTGTGATCCTAGGGCCAGTGAAAATCTAGTTCTCTACTCATTAAGCTTAGGGTTTAGTGGGACTTTAATACCAAGGTAGGATGTCTGGATGCAATTCCAAGAGCACTGAGAGGCAGTTGAATCACACAGGAGACTTCCTGTGGCAAGTTATGGCAAACCTAACCCATGCTGGCTTGAACAATAAAGAGGGCTTGTTGGTTCCCCATAGTGGAGAGGTTGGAAGGTGGGGAGGCTTCAGGTGTGGTGTGGTCAGGGCTCCGGCTCTGGGTGTCTGTGATTCCCTTGGCTCCGTCCCCCTCCTGTAGGCTGGCACCTTCCTCACGCTGGTTTCCCTCGAGGTCACAGATAGCTGCAGCAGGCAGTGAGGTGGTGCTTTCTCATGCACATTCCAGGGGGAGAGAGTGAGGAGAGCATTATTCCCACAACTTCAAAATTCAATCCTAAGCATCTCACTGATGGCCTGTCCTTACACCAGCCCAACCTGTGTGGCCAACACAATGCAAAACCCTGATTACCAATTCCTGTAGCAGGGCCAGAGGCGCCGTCGTGGTTGGCTAACTCACCTCACCTCCGGAGCAGGGGCAGATCCTATCCAAGCCACCGGACAGAGGGTGGGGACTGGCAGTAATGCCCATTGCAATGGGAAGATTGGCATGACTGGGTTTACATTGTTAAAGATCACTCTGGCTGGAGATAGACTGGAGAGGGGCACAGGAGGGGGAGGGTAGAACATTAGGGGCTACCCCAGCGAGAGGTGATGCTGGCTGGGCCTTGGGAGAGTCAAGGTGACAGAGCAAAAGGGACAAATCTGAATCCTGCCTCTTGCCCTTGGCAGCTGAGTGGCAATAACAAATCCCTTAACTTCTCTGCATATCCTTTTCCAAATCCATAACATGGCTGTATAAATTCTTAGCTTTCAGGAATAGAGACGATACATCAAATGTGGCCAGAACAGTGTAGGTCCTCAATAAGTGGCATTGTTATTATTATTATCCAAACTCCTTTGTATGAAATAGAAGCCCCTTCATGTTCGGTATCCACAAGACACTGAGCGGGCATATCTGTGTTCTTCAGATGGAATGCTCTTCCCATCACAAGGCAGAACCTTCCAGAATGGAAAATAATTTTTCTGTAGCCAGTTATGAAACTTCTTTTTTGTCCCCAGGGGGATTTTGTCCCTGGTCCCGTTAGTCAATGTCTACACTCGGAGCAGCACAGGTGGTGGTTTGTCATGTTTTCAGTCTGCAAATATTGACAAAAGAACAAGGGTTGGCTTAATGCACGTTATTGAGTAAGAACAAACCAACTTGCTCAAATTTCCAGAAATTTTCTCCTGAACTGAGTTGCAATATAGCTTTTGTCACTTTTCCCAGCCAGAGTCCTGAGCCCAGGAAAGCCCCCATCTTATCAGTCACTCCAGAATGATTTCACCAAAAACAGTGAGTTGAGTGTTTTCCCTGAGCATAATAATTTTGTATACTACAAACAGCGCCTCAGCCTGCAAGGGAGACAGACATGAGATCCTGGCAGAAAGTGAGTCCACAGCAGAGAGGGGGGCCGTAGGACAGGTGTGGGGGTGCTGGGCGTGCTGGTGGGAGAGGACCGATGTGGGGGGAGGGTGAGAGGGGGAAGGCGGCACCACTTCAGTGTTTAGTTAGGTTTCAACTGGGATGGTGGGAACAGTGAGTTTGGGGATGAGGCTGACCTGGGTTTTAATCTCATCTCTGTCATTCATTAGCTGTGAGAGTGTTCATTCATTCAAAATGGGCCAGGCATGGGATTAAAAACTACAAAACATAGGCCAGGCACGGTGGCTCATTCCTGTAATCCTAGCACTTTGGGAGGCCCAGGTAGGAGGATCACTTGAGGCCAGGAGTTTGAGACCAGCCTAAGCAAGAGCGAGTCCCCATCTCTGCAAAAAAAAAAAAAATTAAAAAACCTAGTTGGAAGTTGTGGTGCATGTCTGTAGTCCCAGCTGCTCAGGAGGCTGAGGCAGGAGGATCACTTAAGCCCAGGAGTTGGAGGTTGCAGTGAGCTTCGATGACGCCACTGCACTCTAGCCTGGATGACAAAGTGAGACCCTGTCTCAAAACAACAAACATAAAGCTACAAAACCTATTTCTAAGAAATTAGTCTCTGGTGATGGATAGAGAGAGGGAGACTGTAACAAAGTGTGATAAATGGGGGAGATAGAAGTAGGGGTTATGAGAGCAGAGGGGACACTGAGTCCAGTCTTGCTTGGGGTGGTCGTGGCAGTCAGAAATCATGGACTACTTCCTGGAAGAAGCAGAAGAGCGTGACGCTTCCTCTGGCAGCCCTGGGGAGGAAGAGGCATGAGCCTGCAGAAGGAGAATCGGGGGGCGGGGAGGGGACAGGGAGGGGGCGGCAGGGACGTGCTCCAGGCAGAAGTCCTAGAGGCAAACGTGGACTTGGGGTGCAATGGGGTGTGGGGGGCAGATCAGGCTGAGAGGGGAGCCGGGGCTGGATGATGAAGGCCTGGAAAGCCATGTTAAAATTTCCAGTTTATCAGAGGACAAGGGGGAACCATGGGAGGGTTTGAAGCAGGGGACAGGCCTGGGCATCTGTGCACTTTTGGCTGCTCTGTGAAGAATGGACTGAAGGGGACCAAGACAGGGAGCAGGGACAAGAGTCCAGAGGCTGTCACCTAGCTCAGGTAAGAGATGGCAGCAGCCTGGATAAAGGTGCTGGGTTGGTGAGAAATATTCATCTATGAATCTCAGAGAAAGAACAGATTACGAGGTGCCAGATGCTCTAATTGCTTCATTTTATTTCTCCCGACATTCCTTGAGGTAGAGGTGGCTCTGAGAGGATGAGTAACTTGTCCACAGCTGGAAAGTGGCAGCAGCAGAATTCAAACCCAGGTCCACCACCCCCACAAGCATGTGTTTCCACCACAAGAGCGTGCTGCTTTCCTAGGTCAACTATAAGAAGTTGTTGATCATGTTTAAATTAAGGACCATAGAAGTTTAAGCAATTCTGAAGAACTTAAGTGGAGTAGTAAATGTAGACTGAAGAAAATTGTTGACTGATATCCTTGGGTCACCATCAATATTCATCTGTCAAAACCCCAGCCCTATCGTCTCTGGGATTTTAAGAGTTCAATATTCATGGAAGCCTCCTCCTTCCTCATCAGAATTTAGAGCACTCATTACTTCTTACCATTGCCTCTTCGTAAGTCTGTTTTCCCCACGGGCCTGGAAGCTTTTTGAGGGCACAGATTTTGTTTTCATCATTCGCATGCTTAGCGGGGCATAATCCACAGTATCCTTAGATATTAGATGAATGAATGAATGAGTGAATGCAAGAGCACTTTAGTCACGATGATGGCATCTGTTCCTTTTGACTGTGTAAGTGGGGCTGAGGCTTAGTTGGCGTCCATTATCCCAAACACTCTCCCTTCTTTACTCCAAGCATCATTCCTTCTCTTTTTCTGTGAAATCATAGAGACTTTCTGTTTGTGTGTCCCCACTTCCCCCTGTGGAACCAAGGCTGCAAAGCAGCGTCTCCTCTGTCTGTAGTCAATGGAGTTCTTCCTGAGCCACTGTTCTCTGGGTTCTTTTCCCCAAATTACATGTTCCTCCTAGGCTGGCTTTAATCATCACAACCTTGAATCCTCATCAGACTCTCTGCCCCTATCTCAAACCAGTGCTTAAAGGTCACTCTTATCCTCGGAAGAAATGGTATAATTTTCATAAACATGGGTCATTTCCCCCCTTGCATAAATGTCAGATACTAAACCACCACTTAACAAGATGTACCAGAAATACAGAATGTCTGAACAAAGGCTGTCGACAATAGTATTTTTTTCCCCTGTTTTTGTAGTTCTGTGCAATTGCTCTCCCAAAATATTCCTAATGCTTTATTTACTTCAGCTTTAGGTTTATTTTGGGATAAACTTTCCTGAAGCTGAATCTTAGGATGTGATTCTTATCCTGGTCACATCCTGGGGAGTTGTTTTGCGCCTTGGTTGAGTGGGTTGTCTCTCTCCCAGGGAGCCCCCGGGTGCTGAGGAAGAGGCAGGGGCCGGAGGATGTCCACTCCCGTGTGCGGGACAGACACAGAGATGACAAGCCGCCAGCTTGAGGGGAAACTCTCCCTAAGGAGAGCCTGCGTCTCCCGGCCTCCTCCACCACAGACAATGCAGAAGCAAACCCAGCTCACACTTTATCTGTTTTCTATTCCAGGGCCTGATGTGTCTCATATTTCCCAACATCTGAGTGATTTGTGACTATTAGGAATTCAGACACTGGATGATTAAAACGGCCGGTGCTGGGAATTTTCGCATTTCAGGAAATTTTGGTTGTGAGGCATGCTGGAACCTTCCCAGCGGGCAGACACAAAGGGGAGGAAGTCCAGACGGGCCAGGAATGAGACTATGGGAACTGACCATTAGCAGCACAAGGACTCAGCCTTCACATGAGACAGATCGGCATGGGGATCCTGCCCCCCGAGCCTCGGTTTCTTCACTAGCAGAGCGGAGAGGATGAGGACTGCATTAGGTAGATAATTCATGGCTGGCACACAGGAAGGGCTGGATAGGAGTTCCACTCCCTTTTCCCTTTTCCTGAGTGGCCAGAAGTCCACTGAGTGTCTATAGGGACGAGGTGAACTGAGGTTTTATCCAGCACAGGGCTGGGCGTCAGTGAGGCTCTAAGGCAGAACCTGGAATTCAAGGGACTAGGCCTGCCTCTCGGGGACGTGGGACCGGGGCTGGCCAAGGTCAGAAAGGGCATCCAGATCTCAAGCATTCTTGGCTCAGGGTCAGGCTTTAATCTGAACTTTGTTATCCCAGATAGTATCGTGTAGCTCCGTGGTTCTCAAAGTGTGGGCTGAGGAGGATCCTGGAGGACCCTGCGGCGCTCTCAGGGGTCCGTGAGATCAAAATGATTTTCATAATGCCACTAAGATGTCATTTATCCTTTTCATGGAGTTGATGTTTCAGCTGGTGGTGTAAAAACAGCAGGGAATAAACAGCTGGTGCTTTAGTTTGAATCAAGACAATGGTGGCAAACTGTAGTAGCTAATATTGCACTATTCACCACCACATGTGCACAGTTAAAAAAAAAAAACAGCCAGTTTCACTTAAGAATGTCCTTGATGAAGTAATAAAAACCATCAAATTTTTTAAACTTCAACCCTTGAGTGGCTGTCTTTTCAATAATTTGTGTGATGAAATGGGAAGTACGAGTAAAGTATTTCTGCTGCCTACAAAGGCCCATGGTGGTCTCCAGAAAAAGCACTGGAGCCAGAGTCTGAGTTGGGAGCTGAAGTAGCCCTTTTCTCCAGGGAATGCTGTTTGCCCCGGAAAGAAAAGACACACTATAGTTATTAATATTTAGCCTCAGGCAGTTGGCACATATTATCTTAGAGAGATAATCTTTAATTTTTAAATTTTTTGGTTTTTTTTCTTATTTCAAAAACTTTAGGGGGTACAAGTGTTTTTGTTAGATGGATGAATTGTATCATGCTGAAGTCAGGGTGTATATACATTGAAATGACGAAGTCAGGGCTGTCACTTCAAGGATGATGAAATGTGAAAGATCAAATGAAAAATTAGGATTTTTGGAAAACTCAAATCCATCACTGTGAGCTGGTTTCAGATTTCACATGGCAGCACGTTTTTAAGAAACCACCTCTTGTCAAATTTGGGTGTACTATCAAGGAAGAATATCCACAATTATCTGAATAAGTTATTACAATACTTCTCCCTTTTCCAACTTCGTGACTGTATGAGGCCATATTTCTTCATATACTTCCATCAAATGACATGACAGTAGACTGAATGCAAGAGAAGATATGAGAAACCACTCTGTATGCTAATGTCAGACGTTAAAGAAATTGCAAACACTTAAAATGATGCCATTTCTCACTAATTTTTACATAACTTTTTTCCTTCTTTCTTTCTTTCTTTCCCTTCCTCTATTCCTTCCTTCCTTCCTTTCTTTCATTTTTTTTTTTTTTTTTGAGACAGTCTCACTCTGTGGCCCTGAGTAGAGTGCCATATCAGCCTAGCTCACAGCAACCTCAAACTCCTGGGCTCAAATAATCCTCCTGCCTCAGTCTGCCAAGGAGCTGGAATTACAGGTGTGCCACTACGCTTGGCTAATTTTTTCTATTTTTAGTAGAGATGGGGTCTTGCTAGGGCTGGTCTCGAACTCCTGAACTCAAGCGATCCTCCAGCCTCAGCCTCCCAGAGTGCTGGGATTACAGGCGTGAGCCATCGCACCTCACCTAATTGTTATATTACTTTTTTCATTTAAAATATGTTATTTAGATTAACATATAATGGATTTATTGTTGTCATTTCAAAATAATAAATGTTTTTTAAAGTTCTTAATTTTAATTTCTGATATAAATATCACTAGATATTAGCTGCATACACAACAGCTCTTTAGAATCCTGTCTTTCTTAAGAGCATAAAGAAGCCTCAGTTCCAATCATGGTTCTGGCATTTACCAGCTGTGCTATGCTGGGCAGGTTACTTAACTTCTCTGTACCTCACTTTCTTCACC